GAAACCGAGGCCCGGGAGTGCGCGGTCCCTGCAGACCCCACTCAGAGCCCCCGGGGGTGCGCGGCCGGGCGGGGAAACCGAGGCCCGGGAGTGCGCGGTCCCTGCAGGCCCAATTAAAGCCCCCGGGAGTGCGCGGTCCCTGCAGTCCCCACTCAGAGCCCCCGGGGGTGCGCGGCCCGGCGGCAAAACCGAGGCCCGGGAGTGCCCGGTCCCTGCAGACCCCACTCAGCGCGCGCTTGGGGTGCTCCCGCGACTTGGAGCCTTTCGGACCCTGGCGGTGGAGAGGGGGTTCCTTGGCGGCAGGAGCGTGACAACCACACCTCCTGTCACCCAGAGATAATGTCATCTGCTTACAGTGTTCTGATTGATTCCATGTTTTATTTCCATAATTTATTTAAGAGGCAGCTTTATTGCGTCCTAAAATGGGAAAGCGGTGTCATGGGCCCTAAGAAACAGACCCACAGAGGGAGGACCCGAGCACCTGTTGATTCCTGGCTGAGATGCCGTCTGTTAGCAGGGGCGAGTCTGGGGGGCCAAACGCAGGCCTAGAGGCTCGGCAGGTCTGGGGGCATGGGTCTGGGGTCAAGGGGCTCCCTGGGGGCCGTGAGCCCCCTCCCACCTGCCCCCCCCATGGCCTTGCAGAACCACTCGTGGAGCGAGCTCTACTCCTTCGCGCTCTTCAAGGCCATGAGCCACATGCTGTGCATCGGCTACGGGCGGCAGGCCCCGGAGAGCATGACAGACATCTGGCTGACGATGCTGAGCATGATCGTGGGTGCCACTTGCTACGCCATGTTCATTGGCCACGCCACTGCCCTCATCCAGTCTCTGGACTCCTCACGGCGCCAGTACCAGGAGAAGGTCTGAGGGGGAGGCACGCTCTGGAGGTCGGGGGGTCCACTCCGTCGTCCCCCAGCTTCCTGAGCTGTGCTTGGGACAGGGGCCAGCAGGGAGTGTGGGGGCTGAGGACCCTAGAGAGGTCTGTGGCTGTGATTAGCAGGAGCAGGTCCCCAAGACGGCGAGGGAGGGAGGAAAGTTGAGCCTGGAGGGAGAGGGGCGGGACGGGTGAGGGGGACACAAGCTGAGCAGAAGGTGAGAGGCAGGGGGTCCAAACAGAGCAAAGCCAGTCTGTGGGGCACCAGAGAGCTCCATGGGGGCTGGGGGAGCTGGAGCGGGGCTGTCTAGGGGGCAGGGCTCACCCCGGGGTCTCTGGGCCAGCTTGGGAGGGGCTAGGGCAGGGAAGGCACAGGGTAGAGTCTAAAAGTCCTGAGGTCGCTCGAGGACATGCTCAGGGGCTGGGCCCATAGAGGAGGCCTCTGGGGGAGCAGGGAGGCCTGGCCCCTCAGACCTGGCCTCTGGGTGGGGACAGCCTCCACAGGGCTAGTCCTAGGGCTGGGAGGCCGGGAAGGGCAGAGGGGGCGGTGGCCCCAGGTGCTGGCCCTCCTGGACACCGCCCCATCTGTCCTGCACTGCTACCTAGTGGCCAGTCCTGGCTGGGCCACCCCCACCGCCGCTGCCCCCCGGCAGTGCCAGCTGGGTCAGCCGGGTCAGCTGGGCCTGGTGCCAGGCACCCCGGCTGTCCGGAAGCCACGGGCCTCACACCCAGACATGAGCTGGTGCTGCCACCCGCCCCGCATCACGGGTTCCGCTGAGCTCAGGGCAGCTGTGTCCGGGCGGAGCAGTGGCGGAAACGGGGCTGGGGCACCCCTGGGAGCACCATCCTGGGGACAGCAGGGCCTGGCACCCCCGCCTGGTGCCCACATCCCCGCTCTGCTCAGGAGGGGCTGAGCCGGTAGTTTCTGGAAAGATCTTTGGGGAGGGGAGGCTCTGGGATGGGGCCCAGGACCTTGGGGGCCCTCGGCGGTCTAGTCCAGCCTACTGTAAGGGCCTAGAGTCAAGCCGTCCACCCAGTTCTAAGGGGTAGGGCTGCCAGATAAAATTCAGGACACAGGGAATAACTCTTCTCAGTATAAGCTTGTCCCAGACATTGCACGGGACATCCGTAACTATTTTTGCTGTTTATTTAAAATTCAGATTTAAGGAAGCCCCTCGTGTTTCTTGTCATTGTTGTCAAAGCTGGCAGCCCAGCCTGGGCTGAAGCAGGGTCCCCGGAGCTGGCAGCCACTGACCCGGGCCCCCCCACCCCCGTTGTGCAGTCCAAGCAGGTGGAGCGGGGTCCCCGGAGCCGGCAGCCGCTGACCCGGGCCCCCCCCTACGTTGTGCAGTCCGAGCAGGTGGAGCGGGGTCCCCGGAGC